GCTCGAACCGGCAACCTTTCGATTACAAGACCACATGTGTAGGGTCAGCATATGGTGGCAAATATTTTAAGAGGTAAAAACAAAAAACAGTTTGTTGGTCTGAAAATTATTTGATAACAAACTTTAAAAACTACACAACCAGTCAAAATTTGGACACACATTCTCATTTAATGGTTTTTCTTTAGTTTTACTACTTTCTACATTTTAGATGCGTACTGAAGACATCAAATATATTAAGCAAAATATATGGAGTCATGTAGCAAAGAAAAGAAAAAATTATCTGAACATGTCTTATACTATAGATTCCTCAAAGTAGCCCTTTGCTTTGTTGACAGCGCTGTAAACCCTTGGCCTTCTCTCAGAGAGCTTCATGATGTAGTCACCTGAAATGGTTTTCACATCACAGGTGTGCCTGTCAGGGTTCATTGGTGAAATGTTGTGCCTTCTTTATGGGGTTGGGACCATCAGTTGTGTTGTTTTTTTGTTTTAAAATTGCCTGATGCTTTTGTACGCGTCTGTATGTTATTTTTCCTTACAGTAACACGATATAACTAACAATAGCATGACCAATATTTTAGGCTTCACACAGTAAAACTGGTCATTTCAGTGACTTTTTGCTTTGAAACAGTTTGTCACAGACGTTAGACTTCTTCTGTTAAGTTGTTGTGACTGTGTGGAATGAACCAAATCTGACAGGTGAACATAATTCTTTGAAAAAATTTGCATTAAATTAAACTTGATTTGATTCAAACAAGTTCTATAAAATTAAAAATGTTTATAAATTGTGTTTTACTGCAGATCTCACATGTTATTTATGGCAGGAAGTTTCTGATTAAAAATCCACAAACGCACATGATGGCAGTGATATCAACATCAGTCTGAGTTTAAATACTGACATGATGACACTGTCATCATGTCAGTATTTAAACTCAACATCAGTCTGAGTTTAAATAAAGTGAATCTGTTTCAACAAATCTGACCAAAAGAAGCAGCTAAACACATTTACCTTTAAATTCCTGCTTTGTTTTGAAACTATATTGCAATATTGTGAATTGTGTTTTAGTCTGCTCTTTAGGCTATTTTTTAGTATTGTTTATTTATTCTCACTTTTATTTTTAGATTTTCAGTTTCTAGCTTGCTTTATTAAATGTAATAACTTGTATCCATGGTTATTTAACTTGTTTACAGTAAAGTGAAATGGTTTTTTTAAATTTAATTTAAGATGTATTTACTGTACCTTAAATTACATTAATTTACTTTGAAGATTTTTTTTTTAATATTTCGGCGACTCTCCCAACATTGATGACATAGACTGGGCATGGCCTCCCATCCAAGGCCCTGAGAAATCACTTGAATCACTATGGGTTTCCCTATGTACCCACGTAATTGGTTTTTGGTCCCGTATGGTGATGAATTGTTAAGTAACAATTTTTGTATGTTAAAAAAGCATTTTTTTCTTTTTGTATATAAATAAATGTTGATGTTGTGTGATGGGATTGTGTGCTTCAGTTTTATTTATAATGCGTCAAATAACTACAACTGATGGTTCAAGGCAATGCCATCCAGAGTAAGGATCTTGTTAGTCACAGTGTTACTAAGAATTTTACATCCAGTACGATGTCCTCAGTTTTATCTGAATTTAGAAGCACATAATAATGAGCATTAAAAGTATGTGAACATGTATGATATGCTTTCTGAAGCATGGATAATATAAATAGAAATGGTCCCAGCATGAAACCCTGTAGAGCTTCATAATTAACCTCAGTGTGTGAAGAGGACTCTCCATTTAATAACAGCTGTAATAAAATATGGTCAACGGTATCGAACGCTGCTCTTAGGTCCAGCAGGAAAGAGTTCAACATTTCAATATGAATGAATGCTGGAAACTGATTAAATTAATGTCTGATGATCTTTTCTGTGTTTCTTCAAGTTTGTAACACTTTGCTTGTATTCTTGCTTCAATCACTGACATGTTCAATATAATCACTATGTCAGATGAGAAATTAAACCCTGTATAGTTTAAAACTTTAATTTAATCAAACTGAAATGTTGCTGAACTCTGATGGATGTGTTATTTAATCTTGTCAACAAAATCAGAATCAGAAGACTTTATTTATCACCAAGGGACAATTAAGAAACAACATAGCAGCATAACGTTAAAGATAAGGACAATAAGAGTGAAATAATAAATACACAGAATATACAGTTTTAAAATTACACAGTTTTAAAATGAAAGTGACTGAAAGGTGAATAAATAACTGTGACTAAAAGTGAATAAAGTGTCAGTAGTATAAGAAGAGTGTAGTTTATGTTTATGGGTGTGGGAAATGGAAAATGGAAATATCGGCTGGAGTTAAAAAGCAGAGTGGCTTTGGGGACAAAGGTGGCTAAGGACAAATCCGTAATCATCTAAATCTGACATTAACCATCTTTTAAAATGCTCCCCTGACACTCTTCACCTGTCCTGTGCAGCTGGTCCAACCCCTGCCTGCCTCCTTAAACTGGGGTGTTTAAATCTCTTTACCTCTGTTGTGAACTTCACACAAAGTTTGTGGTAACAAAATCAAACTGACGAGGATCTCGTTTGAAAAACACACACAGTCACGAGACAAAATAAAAACAGACTGCTCAAAGCAAAAGCAGAGCCCTCACAGCTGGTAGTACAAAACACAGTGACAACATGCGTATTAGATACCCTCAGTGCCAAAAGCATAAATATGAAAAAATGTGATCACCAAGAATATCCTAACAACGGCATTGAGGGGTGTTACAGTGAAATAAAGAAAAAAAACTGCAGCCAAATTTTCATCTGAAAATGTTGAATTTTAGTAAAAGCAGTGCTCTGTAGTTTGATACTGTCATCAGACGAAGTGGATGTCTAAAGCCTTTGGA